CGATGGTTGTTCGTTCCTTAGAAATAGGGAAAGATCCATTTAGACCACGGGATATTGGGAAAAGATGTTGGGACCAGAGATCCCATATCTCAGTGTCATTGGCGCACTTATGTATCTTGCAAATTGCACCAGGCCTGATATCGTATTTGCAGTGAACTTACTAGCTAGGCATAGTACGGACCCAACTTGCCGTCATTGGACGGGAGCGAAGTGCATCCTCAGATACCTTAATGGCACAAAGGATCTTAGTTTATTCTTCAAGAAAAATCATGATCCCAGTATGATTGGTTATACTGATGCAGGTTACTTATTTGATCCTCATAACGGAAAATCCCAAACAGGATTTGTATCCCTACATGGAGGTACAGCTATTTCATGGAAGTCTTCTAAGCAGACTCTGACAGCGACCTCTACTAATTATTCTGAAATTGTTGCTCTATACGAGGCATCACGAGAATGTGTATGGCTTCGCAGAATGATTAACCACATACAACAGTCATGTGGTATTGGTTCAATTGAATCACCTACAATTATCTATGAAGATAATTCCACTTGTGTGTACACAGATGCAATCAGGTTACATAAAGAGCAATATCACTAAGTATATTGTTCATAAACTATTTTATCCCCATGAATTACAAGAAAACGGGGAAATAAACATCTTGCAAATCAAGTCATGTGATAATCTCGCTGACCTATTTACTAAGTCCTTACCAACTTCTGTGTTTCAAAAATTGGTACATGGAATTGGTATACGGCGACTTCGAGATTTGCCAGATTCAGGGGAGACATCTCCTAAATGTTGACCTGTACCAGCATCATATTATACTTTTTTCTTTCACAAGTTTTATTTACAAGGTTTCTTGTTAAAGTTTTTAATGAGGTAATATTAACATAAGTATGTGTCATATTTCTAATTTTCCCCCACCGGGGTTTTTGTGGGAAACATCAAAGACACGTATTGCTCTCACAACTCATACATGGTTTTTCCCTGAAAAGGTTTTTCATGTGAGTTATCCAAGAGGCAATACCAATAATATGTCGTCATATTTTTTCCTAATTTTTCCACTGGATTTTTACAGGAGTTTTTAGCGACATATCACTTTATATTGCTCCTCATATTTTTCCTGAAATGGTTTTTGGGGAGTAATCTATATGGCGTATCTCCTATATTTTTTCCCCACTGGGGTTTTTAATGGGATATCAATGACATAATGATTTATTTAAATCACACTCATGTATGTTATTTTCTCCTTATTTTCCTATAAGGTTTAAAGGAGTTTTTATAGCATATCTATACATATATATTCCTCAGATTTTCCCACATAGTTTTTCGAGGAATTCAAGCATACAGCTACATTGATCTCAAAAAAAATTCAATCAAGGGGGAGTGTTATGAAACGGTGTCTGTTCCTAACAGACACCAGTGATCTCATCAACAGATGAATAGAACTAGCAGTTAGTTAGTATAGCGGTTAACACTACGAATGGGCATATCCCTTCGGTAGTAGACTGTTCCAGTGAACAGTTACATTTTCCCGAACAGTCACGTCCGTACGACGTCCGTACGACGCGACCCTTCACTTCTATATATATCTAAGAGATCAATGAAAGCAATAGTTGTTCCCAAATCATTGTTCATTCCATCTACTTTCAACGGCTTTGACGGGAGGAGCAGCGGCTCGAGACACAGAGGCAGCGGTGACCTAGGAGACGAGAGTAAGGCCCTGTTTGACACATGTCAGCTTCATCAGTGAAGCTTTTTGTGTTTTAGCTTCACCAGCAACTTTTTTGGTAAAGCTGAGCTGTTTTCTGACCTCGTTTAGCAAAATAGCTCACATGATGAACCAAATGAAAGAAATTACTACAATGCCCTTAGCTTTCCTTTTTTTTCTTTTTCTTCTCATCTCCTTCCACAAGTCTTTTTTTCTCTGTGCTCATCTTCTTCCCGATATGACATGGCTTGTTTTCTTCGTTTAGTCTGCTCATCTTCATCCTGGTGGCCGGGCCCCCCGGCGAGCCGTGCCCTGGTAGGCCACGCACCGGCAACCATGACCCTGGTGAGCTGCACCACGGCGAGCTGCGCTTCGACGGCCACACCCCGGCGAGCCGCGCCCCCGACAGCTGCGCCCTGGCAAGCCACGCCCTATCGCCTTCCCTCCCTTGAGTAGGCAAAACGAGTTTTCTGTGCATGTTGGGCTCGCTTGTGTCAGGTAAAGCTAAAATAAGCTACTTTTTCCAGCTCTTCCACCCCATCCCCTAGTAAGAGTAAAAAAAGAGCTTCACACGTGAAACTCTTTTGAAAAGGACCGTTTGACAAAAAAAATCTAAACTGGGCTATGCCAAACAAGGCCTAGAGACGAAGTTTTCTTAATCGGAATCGAAGCGCCGTGAGGAGAAGGTCGACGTGAGTGGGCCGTGTCAGACAGTTTGTCCAATAGAATGGGCCAGATGAAAATTTAAGGCAGAAAATTTACCTCAGGTATATATAGATATTAAAAAAAAACCTTTCTCCCTAATTTTACGAGCCGAAAACACTAATACGCTACGAAGCCGCGATTCACAAATTATTACCCCGACCAGGGCAAACCAACAAATTGGGAATTCAAAACTCATAACTATTCATATTTCATAATCGACCAGTGGGCAATGGCATAGCGTGAGTGAAGTATCCAAATTACTTAACGGTGAGTACAATACATCATTATGACAGATACAATAAGTACAAAATGATAACGTCGGGACATATCCCGAGAACTGCAACCACAATGGCACAGAAAATGTTTTGAGGTACATCATTAACCATAACTGGGAGAGAGTCACAAAAAAAACAATAACTGGGAGAGCATGCTATGAGCTGAGTAGACATCCAGGAGTCCTGCAATTTATCAGGAATACACTTCTAGTCAGAAACTGCTATACAGCAGAATAGATCTCTCTCTTCATTGTAGACATAGAAAGATTGGTACCTGCATATATGAAATTCTTACTATGGCTCAATATTCAGTTACTGCCAAAGTGGTCCGCAGCATCTAGATAGTAGTGCCATGCTACCATACACCTGAATGAAAAGCAAAGATATTAGAAAAATGGCTGATCAGGCAGCGAGGGAAGAGTGAGGGAGGGAGATCATACGTACCAAAGACTACATGATTTGGCATCTAGAAACGGAGCTATAAGACACAAATATCTCATCATCCTCAAGCAGCCTAAGATTCTTCAACTTCAATAAATGTTGAACAGCAGGAACATCAAAGTCTAACAAAGATCCAAGCTTGAGAAGCTCAGCAAGAGCAGCAACTTGATCTGTTCTCTCAAACAACAGTCCTTTAGATATCTCCTCAGCAAGACCTGTCGCATACTCTATTCTCTCTGTGCTGCTCAGTGATCCATTGTACTTAGGCAGGAACAGCCTTGAGTTCTCCCTCTCCCATCGGAACTTCCCTGCAGATTTAACAACTATAGTTCTTCCTGAAGAGAGCGTTACACGGTAATTTATATCAAAAGGCCTACTCAACCCTTTAACCGCAACACTGGTAAGAGATGAGACCATCTGATGCCTCTTCTCAGCAGAAATACCAATGGTGGGATTAGCAAGGAAGGCCAGAACAATTCTGAGTAGTCCAGGTTTAATCACGGTTCCAGTGGGCGTGGTCGTTACAGAATCAAGTGTAATACTCTTGCACTCCTCCTTCAAAACAACCTTAGATATTTTCTTAACACAAATACTGCTGTATATGTCATTTAGTTTTGTGCGAGATAAAAATGTTGTGCCAGCTGACGGATACCATACGAATAACGGTTGCTTAGCCTGCTTGTCGAACAAATCCTCTAGTAGAAGATCATCAGGAATGAAGACATCCTGTTTCTCAACTAACATGATCTTACCTTCATAATGGGCAGGAACTTTTGTGATACATCCTGATAGAAGCTGCTGTGTTTCAGAGTTCCAGTGCTTGCAAATGAACTCCCAGAAAGTAGAACAATCTTTATGTCTCAGAGTGAAGTTGGTTGTTCTCTGCCACATGTTCCAGAGCTTGCAATAGTCACCAACTGCTGGTTCATTCTTCACAACAAAAGCCATGCTGAAGAAATTTAGTATTTTTTTGTCATACCAGTTGACCAAACCATGTAGCTGAGAGCTAAAAAGACAACTTTTGTCATACAGAACACAGCTGTTAGGGTTCACCCATTGTCCTTTATTTCTTCCCTCAGGAATCCATATCCAATTATCATTAACATAGTGAGGCCTCCATTGGAATGCTTCGAGGTACGAGTATATCCTTGTAATGACATCAGTATTGGACAGGCTTTTTAAGTGACATGCCATCAATGTACATCCAGCTCTAGCATTCGCAATAACTCCTAATGTTTCAAGTTCATTCTTGTATGATACTAGTACTTCCTGACCATAAAAAGCATCATCCATGAAAGGACCATCCTTCCTATGAACATAAGAGAAACTGGAATCAAAGAAGAGACAGCCATTCGGATGCCGGTATCCTGCATTTGTCTTCACCCACTTTGTGGCAATTCTGGTCATGAAATAGTTGGGAAGAGCAGATCCGTTCCTCCTCCATGTCCTGATGCACTTCAGCAATGAGATAACAGCTCCTGCAGTGACAGATGAAGCCTCGTTTGGAATATTGAGTCCCGAGATGACAAAGGCTGCTCCTTGATCCAATCCAGTTGTAGCACCCAACGCACTTAGCTCCTTTCTGTAGCTGTTGATCTCCTTACCCATGCCATTTTGACAACTGCTATCATCAACGAAGGGGAGGCTACAAATCTGAGCAATAGGTCCCCATTCTGAGCTGAAAAGAATTGCTTCCTTAGGAGCTCTAAAACCCTGAGATGGGTGTATCCATTTCTCGCTGCGCATTACATTAATAAGCTCACCTGGTAATTCGCCATGCTTGGCACTCAGTTCTCTGTAGCAAGCCAGCAGTGCAAGTCTACTCTCATTTGTGAGAGCAGATGCACGTACAAGTTGCCTGACTCTACACCCTATTGAATTGCTTCTCTTCTAAGTCAGTAACTAGACCAGCCTTCTTTAACTCCACCATGTATGGCCTGATTTCATCTCCATAGTAATCCAGATCAAGGGGTACTTCATCAACAATTCTCAGAATACATTTCCATTTATCATCAACAAGGAAAGTTTCTGTAGGAGCCCTGAAACCAACATTAGTCTTCAGCCATTTCCATTCTTGCAGCCTTTTCAGAAAATTTTGAGGATATGCAGCATATCGGACACACCTAAGCATGAAGATGGCAACACTACTTGAAACTGAACATGTAGGATACTTGAAGTTGTCAATGATCAACTGGTAATTCTGCTTAAAGCTAGTGAGAACTCCCAGTAGCTCAAGTTCTTGCTTGTAGCCAAATATGTCATCGTCATAGAAGTCGGAATGAACAAATGGTAAACTACTAACAGCGGATGCAGATTCCCATTCCAAATCAAAGAGGATGGAACCTACAGGGGACCTGTGGCCGACAGAAGTCTTAAGCCAGCAACCATTTTTTATTCTCTCAATTAGATGAACAGGTGTCACGTGATTTTCATTCAGATATCTAATAAATTTAAGAAGTGAAAACAAGCTGGCCTGAGAAAGGGTGCTAGTCGTGTCTATTGGCATTAACTTGTTGCCAATATATTTCAGTGCATCTGATAGCTCAAAGAGCACTCCGAGTGCTCCCAGCTCAACCTTGTAAGCACTTATTTTGTTTCCATAAAACTCTTGATCAATCATGGGTACAACAACAGAAGCAGATTGAGTTTGAAGCAAGTTACCCCACTCATCACTTGTCAAGAACGACCCAGATGGAGCATTGTAACCATTGGATGTCTTCACCCATTTTCCATTCCTAAGACAGTTCAAGAAGTGTTGGGGTAGCTGGATACCGCTTGATATTAGGTTTCTAATCCACTGCAGAAGTAACAGTGCATTCTCCACAGTCAAAGGTTTAGAGGCACTGGGGAAACTGGCGTTAGGTGGGCGCAAAAAAGGGACATCAATTGCTTTTGCGTAGGTCCTCAACAATGTGATGAGCTGACCTTCAGATGTACAATATCCGGCGTAAGTTCCTGCACAGCTGTAATCAGCAGACAACTCTATGTACTTTTGAGCTTTCCAAGGATTTGACACCATCAAAGCAGCCCAATTGCTCCCTTTAGCCAGAACAAGTAAAGAATTTCTTTCATTTATCAGACACCCATTGTTATCTACAACTGGCATTGCATTGCACAACTGCCTGATGTTCCCATCAGTTATGTATTTCTTTTCATGTGAATGATGAAGGAAGTGGCAATACACAAGAACTAGCCTTCTCGTGTGAAGTGCCTTTGCAACAAGAACAGCATATTCATACAGAGTGAAAAAATTTAAGCGTGCAACATTTCGAAGCCACTCCATGATGTTTCTTCTACAGAGGACATTGAGAGAATTTTGTGTAATTAAGGGCATAAAGAACAGACCAGAGGCAGCTGATAATTCCTTGTTCCAGCAAATTAACCAGGATAGGTCATTCACATTAGGGGCTAGACAGATGCATAAAGAAGTTGTGCTCATATATTGTACACTGTAATATGACAGACTTCCATTTCCGCTGACACATTTAATGAGGGGTGCATGCTTCATGTGTGTATTAGAAAACTTGGTCTGCCAATTTTCAGCAATGAAGGATAGAAGTTCCACATAAACCTCTTCTGGCCCCTCTTTCACAAGATTCGACCCTTCAATGAACTTACCATACCATCCATAATTGGCATATCCAATACCTAGAAACCTTAATACATCATCATACTCTTGGCAATCAAGATAGGAGCTCAGGATAAAAGTGCCATGCAATGACAGATTCTGCAGATTGTTTCCTTGCTTCTGAGCCATGTTCAGAATTCTCCAAAATGCTCTATCCAACCGTGATACCTCAGTTGGTTTGCAGAAGATCTTCTCTGTAGTATAGGACTCGCAAGGTATTATATCCTCTGCAGTAACCTTGGTTTTTATGGACTGCCTGATCGAATCAAATAGCATTATGGGAGAGGCCTGAATTGGCAGAAATCTGAAAATTGGTGGCAATGCAAATAGTGGGGCGTTGCTGGATGATTTCAGGAGAGCTCCAAAAGCATTGACAAAAGCTGAAGGAACACAGTCAAGTATACCACGATTCCATTTATTGTCAAACAAAATAGACTCTCTGGATGAAGCCAGAAGAAAATCAGCTTGTATAATGAATGGCAAATTCGTCACCATCTCTGTAGGAAGGAAGGCATACATGCCAGGTGACCGTGCTCCGTTGTTCAGTCGCTGTCCATGAGGAAATGCCAAGGTAATTACCCATTGATCTACTTCTATTCTTTTCTGGACTCTACACTCAGGCTTGACAGCAAACTTCTGCTTCCACATATAGTAGGTGCACTCATCTTCTTTCCCCTTGCCATTTTCTTGTATAGCTAGATGTACAGTGTAAGACTCTGCATCAATATCCTTTCTCATCTTGTATTCCACTTCACTGGAGATGGAAATCTGGTTAATCTTGCTGGCCTTTGGATCATCATTCATTTCCCTGACAGATAGCCGCCTAATTTTGGAAAGAAACAGAAGAATTTCAGGATGTGTGCTAGAAAGTTCATTCTTCACAGCGAGTATCTTATCAGTCTTCAGAGGTAAGATAATGGTTGTTGTAGGAAGTCTTTTGGAACAGCCATAAACTGCTTGTATGTCATCAAGACTTGGCTTTCCATCAACCCATTCAGGGACGATGTACCCTATATCACAATTTACTGATGGTTTTTCACTGAATTTTATCTGATACCCATTGCTGAAGATGTGGGGCTGACTTGATACTAGAAATACACTTTTGAATCCAATACCTAAACAAAAGGTAGATACCATTAACATGGATAAGTAAAAATGTAACATAAAGCAACAATACAAGAAAGTATCTGTGGCCTTAGTTTTTCTTGGAAGACTGAAACTACAAACACCAACTAATTTTAAAAGTCACAAGTGTTATAATGGAAATGGCATTGTTTTTTTAGCGAGTTTTCAATCAACAACAATTCATCTGCATCAAATAGGTGAAGGTCCCTGTGGCCCTAGGAGCATCTCACAGGTTTGTACTAATTAAGTGTCACTAGGTGTTCATGAATTAGGCTACCTATAAGATCCTAATTAAGCATGTCTAACATCTATTTCAGTAAGATTGAGTATAAGAATTACAAGATTGTTGCTTAGGCTTACTAAGCGCTGAACACAAATAAAGAATGGAAATGGTATTGTTGAACAAATTACTTCTACTCCTGGAGTCATTGTATAAAAAAATGGTGACAGTAGATACCATCTACAGGGTATGAACTCTAAATACATAGTATATTCAGGCACATATTGACTACCTGGTTGGTTCAAGCGCACAGACACACAAATTACTATTTAGTTCCATATACCCAAAAAAATAAGTACCATGCACCCCAAAATGATCCTAATATAAACAACATGGAGATGAACCAGACATGATGGATTGTCTGCCATTGAAGATGCTAGTCCAAACAGGCAAAAATTCAACTAAGCAACTAGCATTTGTACTACAATTCAAAATTAGATTGTCATGACAAGGGAGTACCTTTTTCACCAATATAGCCAAGATGTCTGTTTCCTTTCTTAGTTGATTTTCCAATCCTACAAATGGATTCAATGTTTAATGCAGAAAAACCCTTTTCATTATTGAAGACGACAAGTGTTAAGTCAGCTCCTGTACTAGTAATATCCTTTTTTGTTATGACAAACTCCAGTGATGGCTCCACATCCACTGGATAGTCATTGTCTTCTGCATTCTACAAAATGTCAACTTGTTAGGCCATGCATGGAATCCTAAACATGAGCAAAACAATGAAAATTGCGACGTATTGCATACAGCAGATATATGCTCATTATTAATAAAATAGTAAAAAATAAAACAAATTTGTATTGCAGATAGCGCAGTTGGTGACCCATCGATGTAGGTGGATGGGAAATTTTTGCTGCATATTATTCGCAGTCTAGCTTTCTATAAAATGGGACAGGGCTGTGGTCTGCAGTACTACTGCGAAATTCTAATAGTGTGACAATGGTGTCAATTCATTCAACTTCGCATTTTTGCAAGTAATCACTGTAGTAGTCAGTAGTGACATAGTTGACAAAAGTTTTACCGTACAAGAGTGGACAGTCTCTGCCAGTTTGACTCATAATAACTAGTATAGTTACTATAAATGGAGCAAAATAGTAATGACGTCCTGTAATAGTAAACATGTGGAGTAACCAACCTACAACTCATTTTAATGATTTAATCCCAACATTTAACTAAATAGAGATGTTATATCCTTCTCTGATTCTCTCCATTCTTTCCAAAAATTGCTTTCTTCACAATATTTTCTTTTCTGAAATTCATAGAAGCATGTTAGAGCTACTTATATCTCCACTTTTGGATGTTTTTTTTTTTTGGCGAGGAATATCCACTTTTCGATTTGGTAGTGGTTGCCTGCAAACATATATTTTTTTGACGGAAAAATACTGTGGGGGAGATCCCCACAGTGTGGTTGCCTGCAAACATTGTCCAAACTTTAAATAATCCACCTTGACATCAGGTTTTTACACACTTTCTCAAACTAACAATTACTATCATACTGACATTGGGCCATGACACCTTAATTGTTGTGATGAATCAAACAAGGATATATCAGCTAGTTCACCAGTTTGGGATATGCATTAGGTGCACATAGAAACACACCAGTCATCCCCTAAACATGATAGAACAATTTGTGCATTTCTTTTTTTTTTCTTGAATACATAGGATCTGTGCATTTTTCTATGCAATCCAAATAGAATTCAACAGTGTAACCCAGCCAAGCCAGCTAAATCTCATAATTTGTTTCTTATCTCCCTGATAGTGGCTATGAGTATGAGCGTACCATGATCATGCTTTAGATAAAGGACATACTGCAGCGAGCAATAATCGAACCTGAGGATGCCTAGCCAAATGGACAATCAACATGGGCTAATTAAATATTGTCAGAAGTAGTCACCCATGTGCATCTTCAGAAACTGGTATACAAGATCGTATAACCAAACGATTGGTATATAATAATAATAAAAAGAAATTATGTACATGAGTATACCTGGATGAGCTCCATGAGGAAATGGACGTCCTTGGAGTAGAGTTCCTCAGAGAGGTAGCTGACTGCCTGGTGGATGTCCTCCGCCAGCGGGTTCCGCTCCTCCCGCCCGATGTAGAACCGTTCCCGCCGGATTCGCTCCACGTGCGCCCTCGCTGCCTCCGCCGCCATTGCCACTCCCACCGCCGGGGAGGACGACCCCATTGCGCTGCCTCCTAGGCTCCTAGCTATCTCTAGCTAGGTATGTACTACCTCGCTCGCTTGGCATTCTATATATCTGATAGACGGAGTATTTAGCTAGTGCATGCAGGTAGGTGAACAGGCGGGGTTCAGGGGAGCCGTGCCGCCGTTCGTACGCGTGTGAAACTGAAACGCACGCACGGCGAGACAATATGGCTGTGGCACGGCCAGGAAACCAACTGCACAGGAGGCTCATCCAACGCCTCGTGCAAGGCGAATGTTGCGTCCGTTGAGTTCTCTCTAGCGTCGTAGGAATAAATAAATGGCTGTATGATCTATGATTTCAGTCCCAAACTCAACCTTTCATTTGGAGAAATTAAAATTTACTTAATAAATTAGGCTACATGGCTTGGAATTTGATATTCCACCGCTTTTCAAAGTTCATATATAAGCCTATCTTAATCTTAAATTCATAAAATTGGAGATGAGAAATTGATTCTATGGATCACCATTCTATGTTTCTATTTTGTAACTTATAACACGCTCTTCAACTCGCTTCCCTACAGCTCGTATAGCCAATAATAATATACAAATATAATCCATATACAACCATATTAGCTTAATTAATATGTGTCTAAATTATAATTATTAAAATAAATTCAATTCCAAAGATCCAAACGGGGCCTTATAATTTCCATACTTATGTTTAATTGTCTCATTCATGTGGCAAAAGCAACATTCGAGGTGAGCCAAGTTTGCTGCATGAACAATGTTGAATGCATTTGAAATGTCTCCATAGTTGCCGAATTGAGGGCCTGTTCGGCAGGACTGAAAAATACTGTTCCGGCTGATTGTTGTGAGAGAAAAATACTGTTCTGGTAGGACGTGAACAGTGATTTCGTGAGTGGCGGAACAAGCCAGCCGAACACGCAGGTTCAGTTGTCGAGGATCTGAGACGAGCAGGAAGCATCAGATTTTAGGCTTAGGTTTGCTGAATTGAACGAGGATGAGGATGCTTCCATGTATCCTGTGTTTTCTATAAGGGATAGTTTTGAAGAATACATCAATCGTTGACTTGATTAGATAAGTTCTGTTGCACAAACACCTGAGCTCCCGACACTTAACGCATCCTCACAAGAGCAACATGTTACTAACCATCTAGGGACTTTGTTGACTGTATCATGAGATTGTTGATAAATCTTGCTAAAGTTGGCAGCGATTTTTTGTTATAGATCTCTTCTCCGATCATTCTTTACAGCACCGTGTCATTGTTCGTAGAACATCTGAAAATTGTAATCGACAGAGAGGACTCAAACCTAGCTGATAAAATGTTTAATCACTAACTACTCTTATACGTATCTAGGAGCGGTTTGGTTATAGCAGCCGTAACGCAAATGGAATGGAATTAAAGCTATGGACGTTACCGTCAGCCGTACCATTTGAACTACTTTTATTCCCATTTATCCGTATGAACCAAACAGCACGCCAGTTAGTCTCACTTTTTAAAACTGATAATGATGATAAAGTGCCTCAAAATGACCGAGTCTGCACGTGCACGAATATTCGATCGTGTCACCCACGGGCAAGGATTTCGTAGCTACCCGGTGAATTCGTAATTCTACCACAGCCCGAGTTGGACGCACGATGGTTCAACTCGCGTTCATCCTGCATCCTCCGTAGCCACACATTGGCGAGTTTTGCCCAGAGCTCCAGGCCACCACAAATTGATGCAGTGTTTGGTTGGTGGAGTGACCTCATGTTTCATGGCTGATCCATCGTCCCATGAAATTTGGTGAAGTCAACATATTCCTTATTCATATAGTACTAATTATTAGCCTATGATGAATAAAATGATGATAGATCAACTTATTCTATTCCATAAACTAAATACAAAAAGTGAGGAGTGAGAAGAAGATGGACGCCTCATCCCAGACCAAACGCACTAGAAGGACTTCACTCGATGAGCCAGTGAAAACATATATGTACTCGCATCACAAAGTGGATAGGAATAGCCATGCGCATCTGTACCACACGCTGAAAACATTCAAACACACGCCGGGACACCATCGTAGCAGGAAATAAGTAATGCACAGGCAGAGCTATATACATATACACGACGGGTGCCAAACGCCCAAGTCTCACGAGCGGTGGCTCATCACTTGCTGCCGGCAGTGGCGACGCCGACGTCGTGCTGGGACTGGGAGCGCTGGGAAACGGCCTCGACGAGATTGTGCACGGCCTTGTCGTAGCTGACGAAGCCCATGAACCAGAAGTCGTGGGAGTCCACGGTGACGATGTGGACGTACTTCTCCGGCGGACTCTCCTTCATCGTCACCGGCTCCACCGTCGCGATCTTGCCAAGAGGGATCATAACCTGCTCCACGAAGCAAAGCGTCATTTTTTCTATGTCCTCCAACTCATCTCCTGATGGCGTGTCCATGCCATCGGAAAGGCCGGCTTGCTTGAGTACTTGACCGTACCTTGTAATAGCTCCAAGCGGACTGGCCAGATGGCGCGGTGAAGGAGAGCGGGCGGTCGCTGCAGAAGGCGACGTTCATGTTGGTCAGGTAGAGCGTGCCGGCGACAGGGCCGGTGGCCGTGGACAGGTAGCAAGCGAACGTCCTCTTCAGGTGCTCCTCGGGGCTGGAGGAGAAGGTCTGCTTGTACAGCTTGTCGAAGCCGCCCTCCGACAGGGCCTTCGCGCCGAGGCTTAGCTTCCCCATCGCCGCGTCAGACATGGATGGCGCAGTCTTCACTGGAACAGGTATAAGCACGTCAAATTTATGCCGCAGCTGGCCTGGCTCGACAATTTAAAGGCTACAACTAGTCAACTATTGTATCTTCTATTCTAGTACATGGAAATGAGCTCTGTCGTCACCGATCACTGAAAGTTGTGCTCTGTGGGTTATCATGTTGGCAGTAAACAAGAGCACAACTGCGAAGACATCTGGAACCTCTACAGCTTGGTACGATTGGGGCACTATGTAATGCTAACATTAATGAACTAATTCCCTCGTCATAAAATAAATTATCAAATGGCCTCTGATATCAACTCCTGACCTCAGTATGGTGGTTTACTCAGCTTGGGTGTGTCAGTTATGACCTCATCATCACAGCTATGTTGAAACTACCACTACAGTCAAGACCTACCAAACAACAGCAAGTACCACTTCCCCAACATTTAAATACCCTAGAACTACTTTTTAAGGTGGAGTAGATGAGGAAGAATAGATTGAAGCACTAAAATTTCAAAACCAGCAAGCATAAATTAGATGGCAGATTACATTCCGGCAGGATCCTAATTGGATTGGAAGTGTGTACTCCTAAAAAATAAAAAGCTAGGTAGCCTTAATATTTTTAGCACCGTAGAAAATGATAGTGTTTGATGGTGAAATCAATCTAGTTATAACAGACATGGTAATAATAACCAACTAAAACGCTTAAATTACTACATGGTCAATTGTTGAATTTCAAGGTCTTTTTTTGAACGCTATTGAACATCAAGGTCTATCCATGAGTTTCTACTAATATTTGCGTAAGTTACCACAGCAGTCAGCAGGTCAATGGAATCATCTATATAATATCTATATATATCTATAATTAAATAATTCTAAATTGCAATCTTTTTTTTGAATCATTTAATGTCTGTTGATTGAGGAAAATACAGCGTTTAATAGTGTCCGGTAGAACAACAAATAAAGATTTCAGCAAAAGCAGAGCCTCCTCTGTCCCTGGAAGACGCAGAGCACTGTCTACTGTGATCAGGTGATGAGCAAAACAAAGCATCCTCTGCTCCTACCAAAACCAAACTGAGCTACCGAAACAAAGGATCTGACTGAACTTACGATTGAACCAGATGTTGGAGGCCAGCTCCTCGGCCTTGCGGCTCCAGGTGTTGAAGAAGTCGAGGATATGATCCATGGGGCCGTCCCCCTTGCCCCTCTGCTGCTGCTGCGGCGCCGCCACGGGCTCCCCCATGATGACGTACGGCGGCAGCTCCTGGTCCCCGCGCGCCGCCGTCCACCGCGCCGCCTCCTGGTTCTCCGGGTGCGCCCCGGGGGCCGCCGGCGGGCCCATCTGCCGCGTGCCCCACCGCGCCGATTCCGCGGGAGGCGCACGCGCCTCCGGCTGCGGCGCGCCGGCCGGTGGTGGCGTGGCCGTGGTGGCGGGTACGTCGTGCTTGCCGTCCTTGCCCTCCATGGATGATGGTGATGACGTCGCCTGCCGGGAGATTACAGGGGTAGGTGGTGGAACGGTGTAGATAGACCTCGGTGGGAGTAGAAAGCGCGAGGCGAGACGACTAGAGTGCTGATCGCTGATGGCGAGACGGCGGCGAGAAGGGCGAGTTTTTATAGCCGGTGCGGTGACGTGTCGGCCGCCGCGTTGCAGAGCCTGTAAGCTTCGGGAGCAAGAACCCTCGAGGCGCGGCACACGTGGCACGTGGACGCTGGGGGGTTACGTTTACGTGGGCACTGGAGACCGGAGACTTAGCCGTGGAGAGAACCTGTTGTCGACGTGTCGTAGTGTTCTATTTCCAAATATACCAGTACTATGGAGTAAAGCACTTGGCATCAGGCGTGACACGCTGTCCACAAAATCCTCAGTTGACACTTTGACAGTTGGGAAGAGCTAATCATGGCATGTACACCTATGCAATATGGCAGATATATACATGTTAAATTGTTCAAATTGTTCTTTTTTTTGAAAGACTACATGTTAAATTGTTGATCCTGGGTCCTGCGAGCAGAGGTGACCTGTTCATGATAAGAGATCCCAGTCAAGAGGATTGGATTCATCATGATTAAAGATCTATGTAATTTCATTCGAAGTCAAATTACTATATATGGGGGATTCAACTTCGAACAAGACAGTTCTCGAAATCGACTAACAAGTTTTAACTAATACGTTATCAAAGTTGGGAATTGTTATTGTTGTTCATGAGGGGTTTCACCTAAACTTATATGAAGGAGAACCTTCGTAGGTGACCACCGAAGCCCAAAGACAGAAACCAAAGGTGAGAAGACGAAGTCAAAGGCGAAGGACCGAAGGTGATCACCCCACTTCGAGGAGAAGCGAAGCCAAGGGCGAGCAGAAGGAAGCCAACATGAGCCAGACCAGGGAAGACTCGTCCCGAAGACCTGACTCATTTGGCGAAGCCAATTGGATGAAGTAGGGATGCTCATTTGTTGTGTAATGACCAGGCTGCCCTTCAGAGCAAAGAAGGCCATATATGGATGTAATAGTCAAATGAGGCAGAGAATTGCATTAGGATTATCGAAGACTCCTAACTCTATAAATACCCATGACATGTACTTTTTTCAGACATGAAATCTGTATTCAATAGAGTTAAAACCACTCTCTCATGGTTGTGTGATTAGTCACCAACACTCTAACTTCAACTATACATAAGTATCTACAACATCAAATCAAATTTATTAAATATACCATAAAATATATTTGATAATATATTTTTTTTACATATTTTAGTATTATTTTTCCTTATAAATTTAGTTACAACTAGAAGCATATCCCGCACGTTGCCGCGGGATTTTATTAAAAATGAATATGTTATATACATAATATACTATATGGTATTTTGTATAATATATATATATATATATATATATATGAATTTGACTTGTATGTTATTTTATTATATCAGATCTGGTAAAAGAATCGGTAAGCTAATAGAAGAAAAATCAATAGAATACTTGATTACATTATAGAGGAATAGGTGATGAAACAAATAGTGTATGTAGATGACTTGTATGTTAATAGATTAAAGATTAAAAGTATTACACATGATAGAGATGGCGTGGACATTTTTTTGTAATTAATAAGGGATGACATGGACTTAGTGGGGAATAATGTGGACGCCTTGCATGAAGAGAAAAATCATCATTAATAAGAGATGACATGGACTTAGTGGGGGATGATATGGACACCTTGCATGATGAGATACATAGTTGGCCATGCAGCCTGAGCCCGCCGACCCGGCCCAAGCACGCCCCGCCCCGGCGGCTAGCGGGCCCGGGCTGGCACGACCCGAAGGAGCAGGCCGTGCCTAGGCCTTACCCCATGCATGTGGGCCGGCACGGCACGGCCTGCTATAGAGTCGGCGGCCTAGCCTGTCGCCTCCCCCTCCTCCTCATATGGCCCCGCGCAGCCCCACGCAGCCATCGCCCATCCTCGCTCCGCTCTCCCTCTTGGCCTCTCCCTCTCCCTCTCGGTCTCTCCGCTCTCCCTCAGAACCGAGCTTAGGGCGTGGCGATGGCCCCTCCCCTCAGAACCGCACGCACGGTGGCGCAGCGAGCGGCCTCTTCCCATGGCATCCTCTCCACGGATCCACGCGCAGGGGCGGCATAGAGTCCTCCCCCCCTCGGATCTGTGCGTAGGGGCAGCGCAGTGGCCTCCTCCACCTCGGATTTGCACGCAGGAGGCGACATAGCGACCTCCTCCCCCATGGATCCGGGCGTAGGCAACGTGCCTCTCCTCCGAGCTCCCTCTCCCATTTCTCTGATTTGTGTGAATGCATGACTTTTGTCCGATTCCTCTATTTTTTGATTTCTTTTGTGGAGTTGTGGACTTGTGATTGATCCGTGAGATCTAGAGCCCTGTGATTTTTGTTGTTTTTTCGATTTTTCTTACTGGAATGAGATGAACAAGCTTGAGCTTGCCATGGCCATTGACGCTGTGGATCTGCCTCGAGGCCTCCTCCATGGCTCCATGCATCGCCGCCCACCGTGCTCCCGTGTTGCCCCTCGCCCCCTACTGCCCCTCCTGTTCTTCCCTTTCCTCTCTCTAATTCCGTCGATGCGGCCGGCGGCCCCCTCGACCTCGACGCCGTCATGGCCTGTTGAAGCGGGCCTTAGGCTGGCCCGACCTCCCTGATTGGCCGTGGTTATCGGGCCAGCCTGGCGTGAAAATCGGCCCAGCAGGCCGTGCCTGGGTCGTAGGTCAGGCACGGTGCCCGCCTCGGCACGGCTCGGAAGGCACGACGTGCCGTGCTGGCCCAAACCCCATCGGGCCGTGCCTAGCACGGGCCCGTGCCATGCCTGGCCGGCCCGGCCCGTTGGCCATATATAATGAGATAGAACATCTAGTGTGTAACAGAACCGACCAATTATACGAAATTAAGTAAGAAAATCATCCGCCAGAGCAGGTGATTTAGCAAACTTAAGCCCGTATAACCCGGTAGTCCGTGAAATCACGAAGGATTTCAAACCAACTCACATACCAGCCAAGATCGTAATAAGTTTAGCGGTCACCATCACATATTACATAAAAGTTCGCATCTCAGATACATCAGAGTTTAAACATAGTTATTACAAAACGAGTTCAAATAGAAGTAGCGGAAGCTATTTGTTCAAAACCACACACACTCACACGGAGTTCAAATACAGTGGCAGCTAATAATCATCTCCAACAAAAGCATCAGACGAGACGTAAGGAATGACCATGCCCATGGCCCTAAGCATCACCCATCGCAGGATAAAGGCAGTTGATACAGTAGCCGTAATACATCTGCCCATCTGCAACAAGTGGGAATAAAACCCTGAGTACGAGAAGGTACTCAGCTAGACTTACCCGACAAAACCGAAAATAAAGTGACACCAAGGATTATGAAGGGCTTTATAGTAGGGTAGCTGACTCATTTACAGAAAGCGGCATTTTTAGTATTTCAAGAACCTTTCCAAAAGCATTATTGTCAAGTTAATTATTATTAACCTATCGACTACATTTGCACCTATACTAGAGCAAACATGTGATTAAACAAATAATGATAACCAATGATCATTAACAACTTTCATAATGTCATATTCATTATAATTGTCCAAGTGTTCCATCAACATTACTACGATGAAGTCACTCAAGTCAAGTGCTCACTATCCAGGAGCGATGGCGATTCAAATCGATTCCTAACCAACTGGTGATTTATTCCTTACACAAACCACACTCACCCGCTAAAGTGAGGTATCGGTCACCGAGTCAACTATCCAGGAATCTCGAGTTTGCCAGGAACCACATGTACCCAGGGGCCGACCGACTGTCCTTTGGTCTTATCATCGCGCCTCCGTGTCCTACCACACCTGCTCCAGCGCAGTGCGCTGCGGGCAATCTACTCGGCCCGAATAATCTCCCAGCTTCGCGGTGGAAAGGTACTTTATTCGACCAGCTAAATGTAAGGCATGCGTTCAACAAGACCTGAGGCCCAACAACGGTCGGTCCTTAATCGACACAGACGGAAAGCACTACAGTCCAAAACTCTGTAAGTCTCCGTCCGATCTCAACTTCATTTAACACTTAGTTATACCATGACTACATAGTTCTCCAAGCAGATCTAGGTAACCACCTATAGCTCGCAGGTGACAGGAAATCACCCGACTTCTACCGGTCTAAGCCAGCTAAGCATTGACTCGACTGCGGATACCAGGGTAACAAGGATATAGTATAACAAAGGTAGACAAGGTATAATGCAGCAACGGTTGCAAACAACTCCTGAACGTAATGCATCAATTAAAGTAAAGCATTTAATTAATAATTGCAAACCGGAGAGAAAAATGCCCCGGGGCTTGCCTCTCTCGAAGGAGCTCGGGCGGTGATCGGGGCACTCCGGAAGTTCCTCAACGTCCTCCTCGTCTGCTTCGGTCACTTCCTGCGGCTGCACCTCGAGCTGTTCCTCGGGCTCCTCGGGTATGACGACTGGGTTCTCAGTTTGTGATCCTGTATGATGCATATGCGTAAGTGCTTATGCAAAAGGTGCATCGGATGAAATGAGCACAATGGATATGCTTGAATGCAAGGTAGTCAACATCATCCAAGAACATGTACTACAAGCACATGTCATCTATTGCATTCTCTTCTTCTACTAATATGCTAAGTCAACACATCTCATTAAATGCTTCAAAGATACACCAAAGCTTCACTAATTCTTTAATCATGCATAAAACAACATTTGATTAAACCCTAATTAATAATAGGTTTGAATAGCAACACCTATTTTTATAGCTTAGAAAAATCTTAGAAAATTACCATAACACAATACTACCCTAAGTAGTCTACCATCAGATTTTTATGGCATTTGGATAAGTGGAATAGCCTACACAAAAATGACAAGCTTGGACCTAATTATGAGCATGAAAATACTTTGTATTATGAAAAGTGTCAAACAACAGATGTAATATTTTTTCTATGTTCTA